CTCCAAATCCCACCAGCTTGATTAGCATTCAATGGCCTTGCAGACAAGAGTCAATCAAGGCCAGCTAATATGTCTCAACAATGGATTCCCCCATCAGGAAGCAGCCAGGCTTTGAAGCTGCAAGGTTATTTGCTGCATCAGAAGCAAACCAAGGGTAAATTTGTAATGTATATAGAAAACACAAAGTTTAAAAACTTGGCAACCAGCTGCAAGGTCATTCAGTGCTAATCAAGGTGGCCAATGGCAACACTCACATTTGCCTCAAGCAGGCAAGAGTTCTTCTTCCCACCCTGGACATCATTCCACAGGGATATACATAAACCCCACTTGCCTGGTTTCCAACAGATTTCCCAACCTCTGAAGATGCCTGCCATTTATAACACATAACAATCTAATAAATATAAATAATTCATGTTAAAAATAATAACGTAATAAATAATAATTGTAAATAGAATAATAAATATAATAAAATATAATAATAATAGTAATAATTCCAAAGCTGAGAAGGAAATGGGGGCGAGTCAGTTTCCAACAGACCTCCCAGTCTCTGAGGTTGCTTGCCACTGATGTGGGTGAAACGTCAGGAGAGAATGCTGCTGGAACATTTTGAGCCTTCCAGGCGAAGCAGAGACTTCAAAGGGCAGAGAGAAGAGCACGGAGTGGGGCAACAGCAGCAGCGAGATCTTCCCTCCTTCCCCTCCAGGGTCTTCCTCCTCCTCCTCACCATTTGGAGGTGTCTAAACGGAGAGGAGGAGGAAGAAGAGCCCAGAAGAGAAGGAGATGGCCAAGCCTCGCGCTGCTGCGGCCCTACGCTCCTCTTCTCGGCCCCTTCGAGGTGAGGCCTCAAAGGGGGCGAGAAGAGGGTGGCACAGAGCAGCAGCAGCAGCAAGGTCTTCTCCCCTTCTCCTCCAGAGTCCTCCTCCTCCCCATTTGGAGGTGTCTAAACGGAGAGGAGGAGGAAGAAGAGCCCAGAGGAGAAGGAGATGGCCAAGCCTCGCTGCTGCTGCCGCCATACGCTCCTTTTCTCGCCCCCTTAGAGGCGAGACCTCGAAGGGGGCGAGAAGAGGGTGGCACAGAGCAGCAGCAGCAGCGAGGTCTTCCCCCCTTCTCCTCCAGGGTCTTCCTCCTCCTCCTCTCCATTTGGAGGTGTCTAAACGGAGAGGAGAAGGAAGAAGCGCCCAGAGGAGAAGGAGATGGCCAAGCCTCGCTGCTGCCCCACACTCCTCTCGCCGCTCTACAAGGTGCACGGGGCATGAGGGGAGGGAAAGGCGTGCACCTTTCTCTTCTCCCTCGCACGCCTTTCCTGCATCTGCCGCTAGGAAAGGCACATGCAGGGCGAGAGGGGAAGGGCAGAGGCGCGTGCCTTTCCCTTCCCCCTTGCCCCATGCGCGGCTTTTCTGCCTCCTCCTGCCGTTGCCCCCGCCACCGCCGCTGCGCGTGGGACGAGGCCCAATTGGAGGGGCATTTAAGGAGGCGAATGAGCGCCCCGGGAAAAACAAAGTGTTCCGCGGTCGCTTACTTCGCGTAATGGAAAAAACGGCCCTGTTTGCAGCATAAGTTAGAAGAGTGGTGTTGTGAATACTCTCAAACCAAGCTGAGTTAGAAACATTCCCCTCTGCCCTATCGCTTATTGGCAAAGAAAAAAAATGATTACTTTGTTAACAAACCATAACAAATGTAGTCACTTTTATAAATTGTTTAGTTTTGGTTTTTAAAAAGTTAAATGAAAACCAATGTGCTCTATAGTTCCTATTCTGACAGCCCTTGGCTATAGAAATCACTATAGGATTGTGATGGATAATGAAGTGTCAGAATTAGAAAGGTGTATACATCCAATATTTTAGGAAAAAGCATCCAACAGTAAACATTGCCAAGATGTACAGACGCCACCAAAATGTACTTGCTCTTGGGAGAGCAAGTACATTTGGTAATCCATGCTCTGGTTACATCCCAAATAGACTACTGCAATGCGCTCTACATGGGTTTGCCTTTGAAGACTGTTCAGAAGCTCCAAATGGTCCAATGGGTGGCATCCAGATTGTTCACTGGAGCAGCATACAGGGAACACAACCCCCCCCCCCCCGTAACATGTGCTCCACTGGCTGCCAGTCTGCTACCAAGCACAACTCAAAGTGCTGGCTTGGGTCTATAAAGCCCTAAATCGTTCCGGCCCAGTTTACCTGTCTGAACATATCTTCCCCATGAACCATGTCGGAGATTAAGATCGTCTGAAGAGGCCCTGCTCTCGATCCTGCCTCCTTTGCAGGTGCGATTGGTGGGAATGAGAGACAGGGCCTTCTCAGTGGTGGCACCCTGGCTGTGGAACTCCCTCCTCAGCAATATTAGATCAGCCCCTTCCCTCCTGACCTTCAGAAAGAGAGTGAAAATGTGGCTTTGGAGAATAATAGAGTTCAATAGGTGGATTTGGAATTATGTGCAATGGCTACCAGAATGGCCTGGACTATGATTGCAGATAGCATGGTTTATAATAGTAATTGTAATGTTTTAATGTTTCCTAACCTTGTTTTTTAAAGTTTTAATTGAAATATTTATTTAATTATATATATTTAAGGCATTGAATTATTGCCTATGTTGTAAGCCGCCTTGAGTCTCCTTCAGGGTCGAGAAAGATGGGATATAAATATAGTAAATAAATAATTTGTAGAGACAGCCATCAAAAAATACCAAACAGAGAACCTGTCCTGCCATATGCTATTTTGATATTATTTACCTCAGATCCCTTTAACCCTACATTCTGGTTAAAAGATGAAGTTGTCAGCCACAAAACTACACTTTCTATCTCCCTCTTGTTTGCCTTATATGAAGAGCTTGGAATGAAGCGCATCAGTTATTGAGCACGTACTGTCTGGGTCACTGTATGCCATTGAATCTGAATAGATAATGAAGCTTACATTTTTTTAGTTAGCTTCAGAGGAGCCAAGTCTTTGTTTGGACTTCTCTCAAATCCCTCTGAATCATTTTGATTCAGTTTGGGTTATGGCCGGGTCCAAAGCATGTCCGCATTGCCAGACACACACATGCCAGACAATAACATTGTACATCAGGGATCCAAATAAGTTCATTCTCACACATGTAGAACATGCCAGATTCCTGCAGTTCCTGGGACTATGTCAGATGCCAGTCCAGAACATTTGACGATTTTCAGGAATGGCTTTTTTGACTTCCCAGTGGGCCTTAGTATGACAGGAGGGACGAAAAATGGAATATAGCATGTGGTGATGGAGATCTTGTTCTACAAAACTGTCTTCAGGGTGATGACCTGTTTTTACAGATTTCCACTCAGACCCTGTTTAGCCAAATGTTTGGTCAGTGAGACACTAACAGCTGAAACAGATGTGTTCAGCATCACACTGGGACAACTAGAAATGGCCACTGTGTGAGATGTATAGTCATAACAAATTTATAAGTGTTGGGGTGATATAAATGCCAGCACTAAATGTTACTGCGTTTTAGAAGAAATGATCATTCAGAGAGGTTCCCAGTCAGCTTTTATGGTGTTACTACTAACAGGTGCTTTAGTACTTACAAAAATCCAAATGTTTGGGGGGAAAGATGTAGATTTTCAAATAAATATTTTTATAAATAGGTCATTCAAGTGGAAAGGACTAATCTTTGTGACTAGTAAAATTTAGATTTTTTTTTAAGAAATTGCCTTTCAGACTTTTTTGTGTAAAAGTATTAGAAACTCAGTTCTTAAATAAATGAAGCTGAATACTGCTAAGATTTAGTACTCTAAATCAAATGGTTTGTCCCTGGGCAAACCACAAATTGAATGTAAGCTTGATAAGTCAACACTTCTCTGTGTTCCATTGATTCAACTAATCTACTCTAGATGGGACAAACAGGTGGAATTAGACCATTATATTTTTTGTTGTGGGTCTTCAAATAATTTCTAAGTTATGGTGACTCTATGGCAAACTTATCACAAGGAGTTCTGGGCAAGGCTGAGTCTCCTTGGGGAGATAGGGTGGAATATAAATACAATTGTTTTATTTATTTATTTAGATTTCTTCAGTGGGATTTGCCAATGCTTCTGTTTTGTCTAAAGTCAACCATTTGCTGTGAATGGGCAAAAGTATGATAGTTGGGACCCTATGCTGGTTGCGCAATGCGGTCTGAATTAATGAGGGGAACACATGCGCGAGACAGCGCAGCAAGTGAGAGACACAGAGCTGCATCAGAGTCGTGGCAACATTGTTTGCCAGAAAGGGGGACAGGTTACATTTCTATCCTGTTTAACATTTTCATAAGCCATTGTTTATCATTTAACATTAAATAACTCTTACATTACTTCACTCTTATCCTGTCGCACCTGAGTTAAATTACTTCACTGCTATCTTGTCGCAGCTGTGTCTCTCACTCTCCTGTCTTGCAAACATCTTCCCTTCATTAATTCTGACCCACGTTGCGCAACTAGCGTAGCATAGGGTCCCCGCTATCATACTTCTGCCCAGTGAATGAACTGAGATGTGACCTAGTTCACACTAGAACCTTAGACTACTTTGTGAACTTGGAAGCAGATGAATTTGTAGGGAACCTTCCTGAAATGGAAGTTCTAGACTTAGGGGAATTGGGAAGGGAAAGAGAGTTTTGTGTACACGTACATGCAAATCATGTGCTCACAAGTATTCCACACATATCCAGGATTTACTAAAACTTCAGTGATTTTGAAGAAACTCTGTAATATTGATGAGTTGTAGCTTTGTAATGACCTCTTCTTTAAACTGTAGTTTTCATTCCAAACCTGAAGAATCTTTGAATATGTGATCAAATGATTATCAGTTATATTTCAGAATTAAGACTCTGATTTGCCCTCTCACTCCCAATACGTTTTGCTCTTTGATTACTGATGTTGATAATGCAACTTTGCCAGAGCTTAGAAGCTCATCTAAATGAAAGTAACTGGAAATGATTAATTCCATGGGACTGATGGAAAAATGATACAGTGATAAGTGATGCTTTTGTTATCTCTCTCATAGGCCATTTCATTCCTGACACCTCTGGCTGTCATTTTTGTGGTGAAAATCATTCGACGCACAGACAGGACTGAGATTAAAGAAGCTTTCTTAGGTAAAATGAGAATCATTGTGGGGTTTTTTTAATGCAAAGTATTTGCTTCCAAAAATGTGGGAGACAGCTAAAATCTTTCTTTTGGGAAACAGTGGGAGCAAATGTTTATAGAGCGTTAAGAAAAGAATTACAGGTTCTTGGACATTGTTGGGCAAGAGGTTTTATTCTTCCTGAAAATCCATGTACTCTGAGACTTCTTAAGTCAGCAGAAAAAACTGATTGAGCAGTAAGAGCAAGCAAAGGTGAGAAGAGTAGGTCAAAGTTGTCTGGCAGTGGAAGATTTTTTTTGAATAGCATTTTTCTCCTTGGGGAAATGAACTGTGATGTGTGTGTATATATATGTGTGTTTCTGCTGAAGCTATTAGAGGGGAAAACCCTTTCTTCTGCCAGTGCTTGATTTTTAAAAACTTTTTTTGAAAGAAAAGATTTTAACTTTTAAAGGAAAGGGTCTCATGCCAAATCCTTTTGGTTGGATGCCATAAGTGAAAAAAGGACATGCCCTTTTATGTTTTATTTCTTTTTCCTGTGATGCTTAATCACAGCACGCTTAATAAAGTATATTAAGTGTAGAGAATGTCTCACCTATGTTATCTGCATATCCTTACAACAACTCTCTAAAGTAGATAAGTATTTATTGTTTCCATAACTGTCGTAGCACAGCATCTTTCAATATAAACAATCACTCACTATTTTCATCGTCAGCCAGTCTGGGATCTAAACTGACGCAGATTCAAACAGCAACAATGCAGGGGTATTTCAGAAGTCATAGTCAGTAGTCCATTCCAAAGGTCCTCACCAAGTCATCCAAGTCTATGCTCAATCCAAAGTTCCAAAGCCAAGGTCCAAAACACGATAAAGCACACAGTATCATCAGACAGAGCGCCAAGCTGTAGTAAATTCCAAATATTGCTCCCAGCAAAAGACCAAATCCAAACTGCCACTCGTTATGCCTCTTAGCACAAGCACTCTCACCTGTTGGCCCTCCTCTGTGCCAGCCAGGTGGATCTGCACAGCGGAATAGCATCAGTCCTTAGTTGCAGTCTTTCTAGGATACTTAATTCTGCCTCATTGCTCTCCTGATCCTGAGTTAATTCAGGACACCCACTTGCCTGAGGCACTTGGTTCTGCACTGCAGGGATAGCTTCTTCAGTGTCAGGCTGCAGCTGTTGTTGTTCCCTGCTTGCTACTGACTCAGATGCTGGGCCTGGCAACCCTTCATCTTCTGTATTGCAAACCCTGACAATAACACGGATAGGACCCTAGGGAATAAAAGCTTGGTAAAGCAGGCAAAACATTATGGGTGGCTTGTAAACTGAGCAGTGGTTCTGTTTTTCCCAACTCTTTGGGAAATCTCTTTCTTCCATGTGGCCCATAAGCCACGACAAGATTAGGAATTGTGGATATGGTTTTAAATATAAACTCCAGATATGACCTTCCACTATTAATTGGGATCACATTGGTGTCCACTGTCTCTTTTAACTATTGTAAGCTGCATGGAATCCCAAAGGATATGCCATCACTTCAAGCGCCATTATTCCAAGACCATAGTCCTGATTTGTAACCTAGGCAGCTGACTTTAAACAGCCATGCATGCATTTGCTAATCCATCTGAATAATACCATTTCCAGTTTGGCCTCTTGGTAACCAAGGTGAAACTTGAGCTTTCCAGATTGCACTCTTAGCTGCTTCTACATGCCACTTACTATATATCTTATTTTCCCCTGCTCAGTTTACACATCCATTCAGTTTCATCTCCAATTTTTCTGCAAAAGTTTACATTGCTGTTTACTATCAAGACTGCACTATCTTGTTAAATGCTGGACACGTGGGGGGAAAAACACCTGTTTTTTTTCAGTGAGTACTTACTTGGCACTTCTTCAACATATTTTACAATCTAAAACTTTACCCAGTTGTGCCCTTTGAAGTTTGAATGTAATGAAATGAGAGCTCCATATTCTACCACAGAATTGTTGGCTACTTGCTGGTCATATCGTCCTTAGGTTTAGTTCATGATTAAATTTTGGTTTAAACCCTGTGAAGCAATCCCCTGGAATTCGGTTTGTTGCTGGCGGTGTCATATTCAGAATAACATCTGACCTTCTGTAGATTGTATTACTCATGAATTTTTCATCATGTTTGTCACCTTTGTTTTAAGAAAGGAAATATCCAATCCTAGTCCAAAGTGTGTAAAAGCCCTTACCCTACTCTCAATAGGAATACATCCACACACACAGTATTTGCTTGGGAGCTGTCCAGTATTTTTCTGCTCAACCAAGAAAGTGCATGATAATATTATGCATTTAATGGCAACCACAATTAGTTTGAGCTCTTGATTCTGCAACATTCTTGGATTTCTAGTAAATTCTTTGAAAGGATGGGAAACCCACAAAAAACAATTGTAGCTTTGTATTTTCAGGCCACTGGAAAATGTGAGTATGATGAAAATGAACACAATCTGACTTCCAGTATTAAAAACCTTTAAAATCAGGACAGAAAATAAAGAACACTAAAAAAACAGGGGAATTCCTGTCAAGAAACAGTAAGGGCTAGCTAACACCTCCCAACAAAGGATTCCCCCAGGCAGCAACTAGCCATTCAATGCTAAGCAAAGTCGCCAATTGCAACATTTACACTTGCCTCAAGCAGACAAGCATTCTTTCTCCCAACCTGGGCATTCCATAGATATATAAACCTCACTTGACTAGTTCCCAACAGACCTCACAACCTTTGAGGATGCCTGCCACAGATGTGGGTGAAATGTCAGGAGAGAAAGCTTCTGGAACATGGCCATACAGCCCGGAAAACTCACAGCAGCCCCGAGTACTTTGTCAGACAGTCATTTTTGTACAGTTTTCCAAAAAGAAATATTGGACCATGTTGCTTTTTTAGTAATTGAAGATCTGAAATCCTGTTTTTTTTATTGTATTGCATGAGCAGGTCTTTTTTTAATTGGATGAGATAATATGGTGTTGAGCAAGAATTCCACTGAAATAAAGTGACAAGTGAAGAACCACACACATTTTTCAAAAAAATCAGGATGGTAAGCTCGTTCTGATAGTTGTCATTTATTAGCAAAGTCATTAAGCTACTGAATGTTAAAAATATCCTGGTAAAGTAATTTCACAATAGATGTGTCCTCTTATGTCATATAAAAATCAGCAATAAGCTTTCAAACAAGAAGTCAGGAGACAACTCTGATTGAAGCTATCTGTCTCAGAACTTTGTAGAAGGCTTTCATTCATCTTTTTGGGTGGTACTTGAGAGCTTGTCCTCTTGAGCAGCCCCAGTGACCATATCTGGTGGCAACTGGACGGCTAACGGCTACACATGTGTACAAATATGTACACAGATATGAATCCATGAATATAACTTCCCTCCAACATATCTCACTATACATGGAATCACACTTCATTCATATGCACACATTACTTCTACCACATATACATTTCAGTATATTCTCAACCGCATTAAAACTCCATTGAGAACATGAGATCCCTTGAGTTGAGAGGGCCTCACAAGGATCAGCCAAGAGCTCTTCTACACTACAAGAAACCAATTGTAGCAACACTCGTCAGCTACCTGTATTCAGTTTCTAGATGACAGTTAACTCACTAGGTAGAAGAGATTGCTAGAGGCATGTTTCTGGTCGCGGCTGGTGATTTTTGTCATTGTCTTTGGATCAAGGCAGTTTCTTGTGAGATGAGTTTTTCCATTGTCATCGATTGCTTGCATGCTGGGGAGCATGTACTTTCTGCCATTATGTTTATGTAGTCTCATTGTCAGGAAGAAGGAATGGGATTACTGCTGTAAGATCCTAAGAGCAATGCAGGTTTCAGATCATTTAAACATGTCATGGGTTTCACAACTAAACAAAGAGAAAAGACTATGTGACTGGAGAGAAAACCAAGTGAAGAAATAAATTTGGTGTGTATGTGTGTATGAAAGAAAGAAAGAAAGAGAGAGAGAGAGAGAGAGAGAGAGAGAATATGATTGAGCAAAGGGGACAGTATGAGATTTTGAATTAATGACACAGGAGAGAGAGGAGTGAGAATGAGTAACCAAGGAGAGAGGAGAAAAGACTTTGTCTACCTAAAGGACATAGAGTTTGAAGGAGCACTGAGTAAACATAGAGGAAATAAAGAGTGAGGGAATGGGAAACAGTGAAGGAAACCAAGAGCAATAGAGATAGGTGTGTGAATTTAGGAGAGAGGGAGAGACTACTGAATTAAGAAGAAGAAGCCAGGAGGAAGGGGAAGGTTAGGATGAATGAAGGAGTAGGAAAATGGAGGGAGATTGGTGAGTTATGTACTGGGATACTTGTAATTCTTTTCTCACAACACACAGCACATACAAAGATGTAAAAACAAAAGTCAGAAGTAAAGGGTTGCAGTAGTAAAATATACATTCTACGCAACCAATCAAAATGAGAGCAAAAACAGATAGGAGAGAGCAAATAGATACATTCCTGCTGGCATACAGGAGACATGGGGGAAGAGACTTCATCAGCTTATTCAGAACTAACTGTTTCTCATTGAGGACAGGAGGCTTGAGCAGTGGAATTAAATTCCAACATGCACAACTCTGTTTCTGCCACTGTCAGCATAATATGTAAATTGCACAATTGTAACTTTTGGATCCTGCATTCATAATGTGACTTACAAATGCATCTGTCCTTCATATGAGGCAAACTGAAAATGTGTATGTTGCAGGGTGTGGGTTTTTTGTGTGCTTATATTTTTTTTTGTTTTTTAGCTGTTTCCTTGGCTCTTGCTTTGAATGGAGTCTGCACAAACACTATTAAATTAATAGTGGGAAGGTAAGTCCTGGAATATTTCTGGCTTTTACTTCAGTTATTATTGGATGCACCTAAAATAAGATCTAATGATGCTGGTGAAAATATCAATCAGAGAAGTTAGACAGATAAAAGCTATAAGGATTAAAATCATTCTTCTTCATTTGTGGTTTTGAACGTTGGGGATTTGATTCTTTGCAGTTTCTCACTTTCGCAGAGGTCCTGTGCCCCTAACCCCAATATATGTGAAGGGCTGACTGTATTTCTAATTATTGCAGCATCTGTCCCTGAAAAGTAAAATATTGCTTCAAGGACCATGAGATTGATGCTTTTTTGAACAGTTCTGCTCTTCAGTAGAAATAGTTAGATAACACATCTGAAAATATAGCAGTTTTGAGGAGACATTGTGGTATCTTACATTGGGCAGAATGCCGTCATTATGCAGTCCTCTTGAGAAACAGAGTTCCTAACCAGCATTTTTGATTCCATTGACTACATTTCTATAAAGCTTTCCTTTCTATAATATCAACAGTTGCATCAGAGAATTGTTAAATTTCTTTTAAATGATCCATCTTTACTACCCACATAAATGAAGGGCTCTGTCTTCAGAAGGAAGCTATAAAAATAAGCCTTTAGCAAGTGCCAATTATTCAGTTTCATAATATCTGATGTAAAACCTTATGGCTAGATCCAGACTCGGTTTAATTTGCTGTAAATGTTTAATATTTAATAAGGTTGTGATCTCTCCACTTGCTTAACATGTGCCTTCCCTTTTTATTCTCATGTCTGTGCACAATAACCCATTTGCTATTATTATAAATTGTTGTTTATGTATCCAACCCTTTCCAGACTGTACATCCCTGAAGCAGTGTGCATTTATCAGTAATAGAGTTTATTTCTTAATGTCTTGGCTTTTGTTTTTTTCATATTAAGTCTCTTTTTAGTCATCTTTGAAGAGGAAAGAATGAGCTGGAATATCATGGTCTGCTCTCTATGCCCGAAACTTAAATCATTTCCTTTCATGGCACAGCTACTGCTTTGTACATAGCCAGGCCAATGGGTATGTTTATACAGGTGTGCATCAATTCCCCTAACTATCATTGTAGTGCTAGTTCAAAGTGGTGGTCCATGGAACATTGCCAGTCCCCAAGCTGTGAGTGATAGTCTATGGCATTTTTCCAGGAAAGAAAGTTGTAGCTAAAGAACTTCAGAAGCTCTGGGCATTTAGAATTCTTAACAGTTAATTTCCTTCAGTGGCACAAATCCATAGAAACATGGAAGGAATGAATACCTCCAGCATAAATGATCAGCTTAATAGTATGATCACTTTGCACTTTCATTAACAGCTGCTCTGCTATTTTCAAGTATCCCTGGTATTTTTTTGCAGACCACGTCCCGATTTCTTTTACCGCTGCTTTCCAGATGGAATAATGAACTCTGAAATGCACTGTACAGGTGATCCAGATGTGGTGTCAGAAGGCAGAAAGAGCTTTCCAAGCATCCATTCTTCCTGTAAGTTTGTTCAAGTATAACACAGTACTTTCCTTGGCTGTATTTTGTCTTTTTTTTCTGGATGTTGCTTTACTCATGAACCAAGATGATTTGCAGTAGAAAGAATGTCTGCAGTGGGCAAAGAGAGATCCAAGGCTGAAAGTGGGGAGAACTGTGAATTTTCGTTGGGCCTGTAAAATTATAATCTAATGAGATAAAAGTACTGATACATCAATGTATGGTAGCTTTTCAATATGGTAGCCAGTCTCATTTTTTTGGCAGAACCAAAGAGTTTTTACAAAGCCCTTGTGAGTCACCATAAATATCTAGTGAGGCGCATTCGGCTTTCTGCATCATAAGATACTGTGTATCATGAGAGGAAGTGTTCTGTAGTGGTTAGAGTGTTAGCCTGAGATTTGGGAGATTAAGGTTCAAGTCCTCAATAATTCATTAAATTCACAGGGTGACCTTGATACTGTGACACTCTGTCTGGTCTGGTTGATATGGTTGCTATGAGGATGTCTTGGGAAGGAGAAGGAAAGTCATGTAAGCTGACATGAGTTCATGTAAGGTTTAAGTGTAAACAACTTATATAAAGTTTGTTCGGACTAGGTTGACCAGATAGGGGCAAGGTTTAAAAATAATAATGTGCAAAGGCAGCCATAATGTTGTTGTTTTTGTTGATACAGGTTGAGTATCCCTTATCTGAAATGCTTAGAACCAGAAGTGTGTAAAAGTTTGGATTTATTGGGTTGGGGGGATTTTTTTTGTATTCACAGGGGGTACGTTTTGGGACTTTATATGGATATGTGAAATGATGGATACCTATTGAAGCTTCTGGCCCAAGGGACGTTGTAGAAAATGTAAAAAATGCCTAGAAATAATATATTGTTTGTGTATTATTAGCATGCATTCCTGGAAATTGGCAGTTTCCTGCATGCAAATGCATTTGAATGAATAAACAATGTGCTATGCTTAAATAGGAGATACGTGAATTCCATTGTTGGAGAAGTAATTCCTCTACCAAGTTACTAAAGGATTTGTGTATTTATTTTAAGCTGGTGGCCAAGGCAGAATTAGAGCAAAAGTTCCAGCGCCTTAAGTGCCTGGGGACTGCACACGGTTGATGGCAACACCCACATAAACTTCTTGTACTGTGATGCTTTCAAGTCAGAATTTCTCCTGTGGAGAGGAAGGCTGTATACCTCTCTTCCCTTTTCATTTTCAGGGGTGTTTACTGTTCATCCCACCCTATTTCTTAGCTGTGTTGAGAGAAGAGACAGCGAGTGTATAGGGATTCCTGTCTCTCTGACTCTTTTAGAATTAGGTAGCATGGTGTTATTCCAGCTGAGAAACAGCCAAGACGGGTGCCCAGAGCCACCTTTTCCCATAGACTTGAAGAGGACTACCCTCTTCAAGCCTATCCCTAGGCTTAAAGAGGACACCATCAAATGTGATCTGATACAATGCAAAGTCAATTTTAAACTGGAGAACTCAGATATGTATAACCAAGGTGGACTTGTTCTTAGAGATACTTCTGACTATCTTAATCTGCCCTTGTTTATGACAAGTCTTACTTAAGGTGCATACACCCTGTAGAATTAATGCAGTTTGATAGTTGGAAGCTGTAGTTAGATGGGAAACTCCAACTCTTTGTCCAAGAAGGCTAAACACATGTAAAATTACAACTCCTATGATTCTGTAGCATTGAGCAATGGTATTAATTCTATGTATAGATGCATCCTTAAACATATATATTTTCCCATTCCATCCCAGTTTCTCTAGTGAGATTAAACCGCAGCAGTATCAGGTGCAACTTGATTCACAATTGAATACTCTATCTGCATATTATTTTATTATTCCTAAAAGGAGAAGGATTTGTTTTAGTTGCTAATCCTGAATACATTTATTGGGAGTGAGTCCCACTGAATACAGCAGAACTTCAAGATGCATACAAATTGCATTTAATTGTTGATTCATGTACATACAACACACCATGCTAATCCTGAATATATTAATTACTTGCATGGGTAAAAGTATTATGTTTGAGTTTATGTGGAAACTCTTTGTGGAATTTTGTTTGACATGTCCCTTTCCCGCATGCATTTGATTAGTTGATGAAAGACTCTGAATATGCATATGCAAACTTGTCCTAGATGATTTCTTGTCTTATTCAGCAACTCTTTAATGGAAGGGGTGGGAAAATGTGAATCTCCAGATCTTTGGCCACACAGATAACATATGGCAGACACGAAGATGAGCAATTCTCCACCTGCATAAGGCATGCCAGTCCCTTCAGGGATGGATAAGATACAAACTAGGAAGTAAGCCTAGACAGATTCAGATGCCACATGAAATTTGGAGAGGAGGCAGAGGGCTAGCATTCTTATAACCCAGTCAGTTTGAAGGAATATTATTTTGTCAATGCTCATTATATAGAAGGAACGTTCTAAGTCATGGCTGCTTGCTTTATTGGTGGCTTTTGCATCAGGGATTTATTTACAGTAGACTGGTTTTTTTTCACTGGTTCCTTGATGTATTGCTTACAGTAGAGGAAAATATAGTTCACTATCAGAAAAAAATTACTCAATGTGTGATGCATCTCTTAAAATGAGAGTGAAAAAAACAGTCTTCTCTCAATTGAATATAATGTGTCCTTTGTTGAGTTCAGCACATGAAGCTGCCTGGACACTAAGATAACATGGTGTCAAGTTTGTGACAAAGAGAGATTAAGAAGATCAGTTGAAAGCAAATGACCTTCCTTGTTCTTGCTGTCAATAATTTTTTCCATCAACATTTGATAGGATTTTTGCTATCCATTTTCAAAGCTTTGTGTTCAAAGCATCTATCTAACCTGGTTGATCCTAGAACAGATGGCTTTCTAGCAAGTTGTACAGCACAGGTGTGGTACGTGTATAATGACAGAAGAGCCAAATCTCAGAAGATCACAAAAGGACGCAAATATTATGATCTGATGCTAGAAAACCATGGTCATGGAATAATTATTTTTCATTCCTGTTGAGTTCACTTTCATGTTTCACATGTTGGTGTGAGCTTTTACAAATAACATCAAATGCACAGGAATTCAGGTTACATTTAAAGTGATGTTTTGTGAAGCAGAGAGTGTTTAAAGATCAGTACTTTCATAGGGATACCAAGATGCTTGTTATAAAGTTATTGTCATTCCAACTCTGTTGTAAGGCTGTGAAACATGAACCATCTACAAACGTCACTCTCAACTTCTGGAACTATTCCATCAACATTGTCACTGAAAAATTCAGCTAATCTCTTGGAAAGACAGGCAGTCTGACATCAATGTTCTGGAAGAAGCAAAGAGCACTGAAGCAATGATCCTCTGCCATCAACTGTGCTGGACTGACCACTTTGTCTGAATACCCAATCGCAGACACTTTCCATACAACCAACCCACATAACTTCTGTAAATCAATGTGAATGTTTCACATTCAGATTTTATGTCATCATATCATTTTTGTTAAATTACATTTGGTTTAATTTATTGATGATAGGTTCTAATGTTGTTTTTCTATGTGGGGTTTTCTGGGATTATTTTGTCAGTACTTGTTTGTTCTATGGAGGCATTGAATGTTTGCCATTGCATGTTGGAATCTGCCCTGAGTCCCCTGAAGAGATAGGGCAGAATATAAATAAAATTTTATTATTCTCAGCTCAAATACCATGTGGATCCAGGATAGGTCTCCACAGTCACTTATGGACCCATTGCCAAGACTCTACCCTTGGAAGAGAATCATACTCAGCCATGAGTGATCACTTAGGTGCTGTCTTACCAGGAAGGAATTAAGACAGGCATTTGTGGAACCTCACTTTGTGTGCCATCTGACATCTCCATTTCCTAAAATATAATCTTGGATTAAATATCTGTAGTTCTCCTGTATTCCTGAGGAACATTTGAAAGCTCCTTTCCAACAATTTGCTCAACAATACGATTCCAGGTGTATTCAGCAGTTACTTGGCAGGAGTTAAAACCATGTAAGATTTCATATACAGATTTTTTCTTATACATTTTGTCATTCGAGAACAAAATATTTTATAATTCATAATTCTTCAAATATGTGCAATTTTCCAAGGAAAAATGTCAAGAAGAGGACACTGACAAAAACAGCAATGGGTTTTCTCATTTTTCGATAGTTTGTTCCTACCCGAGCCTTCATGTATTTAGGTGTGAGTTGGACTCCTTAACGTTCTCCATGGAACTAAGTACTAGGAAGAAAATGCTGTATATGAGACCGAGTGCAATAGATTAAAAATTCTGCTAATCTATATACATGGGAATTCTAGGTTTTATTAATGGAAACTAATTCTCTCTATCCCAATCTGTCATTATGACATGAATTTGATTAGTGTTGTTGGCTATTTCTGAATTCTTCAATTTCTTTCTCCATTGTATCACTTGAAAAGACTGCTTTTAAACCTCTTCTCTTCCCCACCATTACCACACACTTTGCTATTATGTAAATTTGCAGTCGATCTGCTTCTGTGTATTCAACCCTGCACCTGCCAAGCTTTTTGAAAACTGTGCTATCTTTCCACTTTATTATGAGCAAGGGTGCTAGCTAAGCACCCAATAAACCACATGTCTCCGGATCAGGCAAATGGTGGATAGGTTAAAGGATCAAAATAGATATTAAATCATGCCATTTACTCTTGGCATCAAGTGAGAATGATTCTGTTTCAGGGCGATTATGACAGTATTGAAATGGGTACTCTTTCATATGCCAGCCTGTTACTCTATTCCTATTGTTCCAGGAAACATTGCAGATTTTCTTTTTATTCCCATTTCTTTTTTTTTCCAGAGAAAGCTAGATATCGCTTATATACCTAGTAGGACATGTAACAGACCAGACCATGAAATGAAATGCTGAACAAAACCTGACAAAAGTTTGTAACACACAATGAGAGACCCAATTTTCTGCTCTGTCAATCATTTTACAGTTGCTGGTGTCAATTTGGCAGACACTAAAATAAAATATGTGGATTTCCTC